TTCGATAAGCTTGATACTGATTTCAAACTTACTTTGCTGAAATATTTCTTTCAATATAATTAATAATGCCATATTTAATGGTTTTCAAGAATAATTTTGATTTTAAGTGTGCAAATCTGCATTCTAGCTTATCTCATCTAACCTATTTCAAATTCAGCCTACCTCAAATACATTATTTTACTATTGCATATTTTTTGTACTATATTTTATATAATACAAATATATGTGAAAAAAGAGGCTCTGCTTTTAACCTGTTTATAAATAAATTTTATACCTTTTATCCTTTTGTACTATACTTCTTTTCCCTACTAAAACCTTAAAAACCTTAAAAATAATCTTTTATACCTTTAATTTTGTAAATATTGAGCCTCAAATGTATATATTTCAATCATTCCTTGACTATTATTGGTTATAACTGTATGTATGTATTTGTATATATATTTGAATAAAAAAAAAAAAAAAAAAAAAAAAAAAAAATCACGTCTGCTTAACACGCAGAAGGTCACGAGTTCGAGCCTCGTCGAAACCTCGGATTATTTTATTTTTTGACCATTTTTCAAAACTAGGATATAAAATATGCTGTGTGTGCTTGATATAATTCTTCAGTTGTCTAACACAATTGCAGTGCATGGTTCGATTTAAGGATGAATCCCGCTACCATCAGGACGTATCTTGTCGGGGGTGTAGCTCAAATGGTAGAGCGCTCGCTTAGCATGCGAGAGGTACCGGGATCGATACCCGGCATCTCCAAGCTTAATTTTTTTTCTTAATGCTGCACACTTGCTGCTACTCTGGAGGAGAAAATACCGCTCGCCCTTTTTCTAAACAATTTAATTTACTATCTCCTGTTTAAGAAATAAGAAAGAGAAGAAGCAAATAAGTAAGAAAATGTACCGATGAGTGAGGAAAGGTGGCAAGGAATATGATGGCCAGGCTGGTAGATTTGTTACCTGCCCACAGCTGAGCCCTAACCCTAACCCAAACCCCCAGATTTGCAAGATGCGGCCTATACGGTAGTCAGGCCAC